AAGGCAATGAGTGCCGTCAAATTCAAAGTTGTTAGATTCCAAGACGAATTTTAAAAGGGTCATCAAAGTCAAGCTGTCAATTATTTTGTCACAGACAGACTCGTATGAGTGAAGTACTGCTCGTATTCCATCCGCATGAGGAATGTTCGTATATAGGGACGCTACGTCAAGGGTAACCAGGAGTGAATCAGGGGGGACAGAGAGGTCAACGATGTCGGACAAGAAGTGGTTTGTGTCTTTGATGTACAATGGACAAACTATGAACTTTCTTGACGTAACAGTGACATTGTGTGGCGGCAAGCTTGCCACTAAAGTTTACAGAAAGCCAACTGATACTCAACAGTCCCTTCATTTTAATAGCAACCAGGTCAAGCACTCTAAAACTAGCATACCCTATAGCCAGGCCCTTCGTTTTTAGAAGAATATGCTCCCAAGAAACTGACTTTAATTCCAATTGTGCGCAGCTTCGGAATGCTTTATCAAAACAGAAATACCCTTCCAAGATTATAGATGACACCATAAAAAGGGCAAGTAACCAGGACCGCAAAACGCTTTTAAGCACCAAGAATAAACAGCCGGTCTTCTCCTGCACTAGCCTTGTTCTGACATTTTCCGCGCCTGCGCAACACGTAAATGCCATTTTAAGAAAGCACCATAACATACTTCTACAAAGCGAACGACTTAAATCAATTTTCCCAGAACCACCGCGTGTGACGTACAGAAGAGCGGACATTCTGCGTGACCTACTCATGTCGTCAAAAAGCGTACGCAGTAAACCTACTGGCTGCCGTCCTTGCAACAAACCTCGTTGCAAAGTCTGCCAGCATATGACCACTTCACTTATCGCAAACAGCACCGCATCTAACTTCAGCGTCAAAATAAATGGTGACTATAACTGTGACACGCGTACTGTAGTTTACCTCCTGGAATGCTTGATCTGTGGAATGCAGTACTTAGGTGAAACCGAAACACCCTTCAGATATCGGTTTAACAATCACAAAGCTCATGTCTCTTCACTTCCTCACCTTCCAATATCAAAGCATGCTAACGCAATGGGCCACTCATTTGACAACATTAGAGCCACGATTCTGGAGTCTGGCTTCCGAACGCATCATGACAGGGAAGTGCGCGAATCATTTCTCATCTTTAGGTTCAATACAATCGCAGGCGGTTTAAATGAGAGTACGGGGAAACTCAGCGTCTTGCACCAGTAACCGCTGTAGATGTTATTGCTTGTACCAGCTGTAATCCTTGTGCACGTGTCATGACTTGTTATTTGATTGCTTATAAGTAGGATGTGATACGGGGGCCCCCATATAGATTCCACGTCTGATTGTTGTACTTGTTTTTATGATGTTTGCACTCACGTGATTATTGCAAGCAAAACGTATGCGCTCATATGCTGTTGCACCACTGTTACATCTGTTATTCTGACGAAGGCCGGTCCCACGGCCGAAACGTAAAGAAACCTTTCCGTTTTTCGACGTGTGTCTTCTTTTTATTGATACTATTTACCGGCGTCCAAGAATTTATTCCCTGCAATTATATATATATATATATATATATATATATATATATATATATATATATATATATATATATATATAGGGGGAGGGGTAGATGCTTGTGCACGCTCACGCTTATCTTTTAGTGGGGAGAATCATGCGCCGTCGCTTTTCACTGGAACGATTACGTTAGTTGCTGGGCTCACAAAGGTGTCTTCGGTCTATGCACAGGTCCCGTTTGAGAAAAGAGCGCGCTTTTCATACACAGCGAGATATAGCAACTGGGACACTTGTTAGTTTGTACTCATCTGTACCTGTGGTCATGTATCGCGCATTGTTTTTGTTTAAATGGTGCATTACGTGTCGAGCGGTAAACGTTGTTAGTTCACACTCATCCTGTATGTATCGTTTTTCTGCGTGAGCAGTGCGCTGCATGCTTCGATCTGCTTGGCGTTCTCAGTGTAACATTCCAAGTTGTTGCTGTCGCATTCATTGCTTTGCCCTTATAGCGAAACTTAAACTGTGACTTTTTCTTTTACGTATTTACTGCCTTTAATCTACCGCTGCATGTCCTCGGACCTGGTAGATCGCTATTGCGTTGCCGCGACCGGGGTTTTGTGCGTGACGGTTGCAGCAAACGGTCAATATTTTTACAATCCCCGTGCGCTTGGCTTCGCAGGCGCCTTCAAAATTAAGTCGTTTTATGCCATCTACAATCGCATGTGCCGCCGTTTTGTCGGCAGAGTTTGTGGAAAGCAGCGTTACTTTGATTGGTTGAGTGCAACCTTTCGGGGTTCTGTCAGTTACGTCATGGCCATACATGATCGTGTCAACAGCGACTGCAGTTTCGTCTACAGTGGTTGTAACAACGACAATCACACGCACTGTAGAAGACAGTGCATGCGCTGGTCGCACGCGTACTTCTAAAGCTTCAAGTACACTGCTCTCGGCCTTCGTTCAACTGTTTGCATACTAAAGTTCGTACCAGCCGCCGCGATTAGAGAATGTGTACGAAAAATTCATATTTAGGCCCAATGAACATAGCGAAAGTTGGCTGAGGAATTTCACGAATTCTTATATGCCGCGGTTTCACGTCACTGATATTCTACTGTACGCTTATATGAAAGCCTCTTAAACTCACTGATATTAAAATGAGGTAGGTTCGAAAAGCCTGAAGCAAATTGAGCTGGTTTTTTTTTGTCTATACGGCCAGATGACGCACACAAATTTTGATTTCTGGGAGATTTTCATGGCAACCGTACAAACGGAATAAACGGCCGAAATCCGGGAGTCTACCGGTCAATCTGGGAGATTTGGCACGTATGCAGTTCTGAAGGCACACGAAGTCTAGACGAAACTACTGAGTGCTGCAGCCACTACACAATAATTCATGACAACTATACAGTTCTGAAGGTATGCAGCAATAATAAAACTTTTGTTTGTCGTAACCACTGCAGACGATACCACAGTTGCTATCGACACTATCATTGATAGCATCCTTGAATTTCACGAGCTCCCAATAAAAATGAAAACGAAATATGGCTTATCATAGCCACTGAAGCCAACAACATGACTGCAAATGGTGACACCACACCTTGAAGGCCAACAGCCAACACAGTGTGTCACACAAAGCGGTAAATGTAAATAAGCTTCAAGTACTCTGGCCTTCCTCTCGTTACCATATGGTTCGTGCTGATGGCGATGTGGACTTGAACGCCTTATTTTGGTTGTTTGCGACAGCCACTTTCACTCTGTCATGTTGCACAGGTTTCTGGCATTTTGTGCTCGGGGTTGTGGCTAAATGTGACTGGATAAACAAGAGCTTGATGCTATTAAACAATGCATATACTGACTGGGACTAAAGAACTACAGCAAAATACGTAGTCTGATCTTCTGAATTATAAGAATTAAGTTAGCTTGCTTTTACTGCATTACATCTGCTAACACTATTTCTTACAATACACGGCCCCCGTAAACGGTCTTTCTTAGACAAAATCAAGACATTGGCGTGACCTTTGGCGGACACATAATTCACCTGCTATGCAGAATTCTTCAGCTCAAATGAACCTCAAACCCTGTTTTTCACTGCGTGCGCAACAGCTGCAACGGGGGTTGTGGCAGGCAAAATCTGTTGTTGCCGCAAACTCATGAAAGGTTACGAAAGAAAGCTATAGACTATGACAGTAAAATACTAGTTCACGTGACAAACAATAACTGTTATCATGGCTGCCATGAGGTGAGGTAAGACATTTGTTGCCCAAACTGCTCTGATATCAAAATGAGTTAATTATCTGGCTTGAAAAATAACACCTCGTAGTAGTCTGTAGTACTTTTTAACAAAAAAAAAGCCTATACTTGTTGTAAGAAGGGGAACAGATCAAAGGGCCCGCTTTTCATCAGACACTATAATATGAAACCAATGAGAAATCCCTTAACCTCCCCTCATGAAAGGCTTAGGAGTCACGATTTATCTCGGGAGTGATTGCTAATGACTAGATTGAGAGAGAGACGGAGACGAGCGTGGCAAGACAAACACACTTTATCTAACAAGGAATAGAAAGAGAAAGCACTCAAAATTTGCGTAAAACAAACATACACACAAAGCACGGCTGTACATTGAAACCAAAACTACAATCTATGTTAGGGTCGCTTTTAGCTCTAGCCAAACCATAGCAGCCACTTTGGCTTCTCTGCAATCGCTCAGTGATGACAGATCTCAAATCGAACATTCTTTTTGTCTGTGGTGGCAGTTCGCCACTATGACGAAGTTTCTCATCTTCAAAGTCTTAGATGACATCTCGCATTCATCGTTCTCGGCCCACGTTCGCTTGACAGTCCACTTGTTTTCACATGTGATCCGATCGTCGTGGGTCCCGGCAGCTTAGAACTTTTTGTTGATGTTAAACTCCACGGATCGCTAAGTTGGTTGCAGCTGGCCTGTCGAGAAGGTGAAGAATCGCAGGTGTCCCAGGAACTGCTGTTGCAAGGTTCTGCAGTGCCGGAGAGTGTGTCGATGACTAATGTGTTTGATGGCTACTTTCCAACAGCTACTTGACGTCACCTTCAGACCAGGGCTAACTGAGCCTTCACCGCGAGAGCAACAGCTTTCTTTAACCTTCCTCTTTTGGTGCTCCCCCGGACAATGCCACCACTTCTTCTGAGGGTTTTCGACTACAGCTTGGGTCGCTTGCCACAGGCTTTTCTCAGACCAATCCTGTCCGTGAACGTGTCGTGTATGCGCACCATCGGGGTCTTGTGCATCATTGCCGCATTCCAGTGTATGGCACGCGCCTCACATGCTTTTACTCTAGACACTAGGCCTGGCCACCTAAACTTACTGTTTTCAGAAGTTCATTCGTCCCTCCTCCTGCTGAGAAAACATGTACATCATGTCTAAGCCTAAGCTGGGTGCAATTCGACCACCAATCCAAACAAAGAAGTACTACACCAGTTTCTCCAAGGTCTAGATGTGAAAGATACAATCAAGAAGCTCACCAACTGTATTCAGCTCTCGATTGTACGTGGGTTGGGTGCTAACAGCCGAGATAGTCCACCTGCACACATCAAAATGAACACCTTGTTCAACAGCTGTACATGACAATTCGAACACTCCAATGGAGCTACATAGTTGAATTTGTTTGAATTCATTTGTTGTGTTTGATAGCACATAAGGAAGTAGGGCTACCATGTGGCAAATGCAAGGTATAAATTGTGTAAAACGCTAGGTATCCTAAATGAGGTCTTATTCAAGCAAGCCCCGACAGTTGCAACCAATCAAAAGAAAAACCTTGTTTTTCTTCTTAGGAACGATAAAGTGGATGGGGTAAACAACACGGTGAGTTTATAAAATATTTTTAGGAAACCTGCCTCATTAAGGGGGCCCTGAAACATTTTTTCAGGTAATCATGGTATGAATTCGCTGGAAGAGGTTATTGTATCTATAATTCAACGGCAAAAAAATTTTAAAAATCCGTCCAGTGCGAGTGGAATTACAAAGATAGGTCACATGCTGCAATTGCTTTCTCTCTTCTCACGTCCTGACGAAAGTGCTGGAAGCTAAGCAGCGAGGGATGGCAAGGGCAATGAAATTACTAAGTCACCAGCTCCTCGTGACCTTGAACACGTTTTAATTTTTTTTTTCCTTTGAATGCGCGGCCTTTTCTGTGTGATTGTGCACGCAAGCATGGACAAGTTGCGACCTCCTGCGGCGATCTCTGTAACAACCGAGCGTTCCATGTAAAAATCAGCCAATGGCTAATAGATGGGCTTTCTACAAATGATTTTTTAGCGTCTTCCACCGTTTTTTGGGAGAAGAGAAAGCAATTTGTGGCTGACATTGATAATTTATTGTGAATTACACGCTGCGTGCTGCGCTATAATATTTGGCTCGCTTGTTGTCAGGAGTCTCTACTACCGAACGGCAGTGTTTTATGACCACGCTGAAAAAGTCTTGCAGGGCCTCTTTAAAGGGAGATCCGATTCGACAAAAAAAAAAAAAAAAAAAAAAGTTAATCTGTAGCCTAGGGCAATGAAATTTTATCTATTCGCCCCGAGATCAAGCAGTGTTGCCGCCTGGTGACCACTGGCTGAAGCACGCCTAGTGTGTATTGCTCTCTGTGTCATCAGCTAGCCACATAAGGCTAGCATGTGCCCGTACGTCATGCTCATCCTCAAAGGGCAGTTTGTCCCGATATGTTGGTCCAAGATTAATGCTTGTATGCTTGCCTAGCATGATCTACAAACACATTTGGCCTTGCTTGGCTGTATATGCACTCCAATAAAATCAGTTCAAGCTCTCTCTGAGAATGCTGTGCATCGTCATTGTACCCTGTGTTCACCAGGATCATTTCGGAATAGTTTCCATTTTGTTGTTGAAACAGATCGTAAAGTGTACTTTGCATCGTCCTAAACAAGGTGAGCATCAAGTATTGTGCGAATGCAGAGTTTTAGCGACTCAGTCATAAACGAAGTTTTGCATTGTTGTTAGGTGTCTAAAAGCGGCACAGTAGCTTATTGACTATGCGACGTGCTTGAGATAACCTTTTATTGTACACTCCCATCCCGCTACAGCAAAATATTTCTGTGTAGTAAATTATGACACTTTGGTACATAAATTATTCTTTTGATACAGATGGCGTGCCTCACACTGCTCGGGTATAACTTGACGCAAACGTAATTTTTTTTTCACATTATGTTGAGTGCATTTGTGGTGTTGTTACAAACTGATTGAAGGCGCAGACATACTCTTAAAAAAAAAAAAAAGAACCAATAGGCCACAAAAAATCTGGTGGACGTCCACAATATAACCAAATGTCAAAGTTACGGAGCTGGTTAGCTACAGGATGACCTAGGGCTATTGCGTTTCAGTTGTTTTTTTATTACTTTTGCTTTCTCTCCGGAACATTCAAAAGATATCTACTATAGAATTTAAGTGTACGTAATAATTTAGACAGCAGATCGACATTTACGACACGTCCCGAAAAACACAAAGCCTTCAAAAGACTTTTCAAATGGCTATAAATGGTTACAAATGGTCTTGGTCTAAGAAAAGATTTGAAATGGACATTTTCTAAAGGTAAGATATGCACTTCAAATGTGCTTGCATACAGTTTACTAGTCTTTTGAACTTCAATGTAGCCATGATCTGTCAAACAATTAAATAACGTACACTTCGAGAAATTGCTGAGGCACTATTTACAATGCCCATAGACTGTTGCGCCGCCAACCGGAATTCATGGCGTCCTCTGAAAGATAGTCAGTAGGCAGATTCTCTCTTGTTCGGCTGTGCTAGCCTAAGTGTAAGCATGTTAGCAAGAAAATAACACGAACCCCTCTGCATATCTCGTGAATTAGTGAATAAACCAGACCATCCGTGACACGATAAATATGAAATATTAGGAAACACATTACTCAGAGCAGTAATTTGGTGCCTTTTTTAAATAGTCCTGACGAGACCCAGACGTTTTGCCCTGGACTTTTTTGGCGCAACAGCATATTTGGGCCGTGATTGAGCACACGACGAATATTGTCTCGGAGGTGCACCAGACACCACACATTCTTTAGGTCAGGTGTCCCTCCCAAAGTCCAGCGCAGAAGTGCTAGGCATCGTCAGGAATATTTCAAGGAAGGCACTCGATTACTGCTCTTAGAGGTGTTTTCTAGGGTTTGAACATTTTGAACAGCAGTGGTTGGCAGGATTCCTGTTAAGCAGGTTATGTCTTTTCTTAAAAATTATGCCTTTTCTCTACTAGCATTCGATAAGAAAGGTGGGTTTCTTGTTCTTCCGAATGACCTCTTGAAAATTAAAGCTAGTGAGGCAATTTCGTCAGTCTTCAAGCTCAAGAATAATGCTTAACTTGCTAAAGTTAAGAATGAGGAGGAAAAATCCGTAAAAAGCTAAATATTACCGTATCTACTCGCACTTTTTTTGCCGGAAAACCGATGCAAAGTTGGGGGGTGCGAGAAGTACCCAGGGAAAACTTTCTACGAATACAAACAGAGGGAAAAAGAGAACGAAGTGGCCGCAAATCGGGATTTTCACACCAGCAACTAACAGCAAGCTTTACACTTACCTCAACAATAACAGCAGAGGTTTAACACAAGACAAGATTTATTTGAGACAGAAAAAGTGGAAGCAAATAGTCGAAAGCTAGGATATCATACGCAAAGCTTGTGGATGTTGCAAGCGTAGCGGTAGCATTTGTCGCTCAACAGGAGCCCTCACCTGATGGCCATTTAACAGAATCGTCCGCAGTTTCCTTCTGAAGAAATAAAGTTTACCATCAATCCCAGTTTTAGGCACACGGCAGGCCCTAGCATCTTGGTGGCTTGCAGCTGCCGTCACCAGTAGCGAGCACAAAACTAGTAGACTCTGAAGGGCCTACCAACGGCCCTGTTGCCGTTGTTTAGTGCATGATCCATCTCTTTCAACTTGAAAGCAGCTGTGTAGCTTCAGTATCGCCTCAAAACGTTACAAGATTACCGACACAACATACAAAACACGCCGCACGTGCACTGGCCACTTCGGCTTGGCTTGGATTGAATTGAATCTTTGTGCAATAGTACGCTTGATGCTTAAGAGATGGCCCCAGATGGTGCGTACTATCATCATCAGTGGCTGAAACGAGCAGACGACATTATTGCAGCAGTTTTCGAGAGTGGGATAGTTACTCAAGAAAAAAAAAGAAATCGTATTTTTGTTGGGCGATGTGGGGGTGCGAGAATTATGCAAGTGCGAGGATTACGCGAGTAAATACGGTAATGGGCTGGCTAAAGTAATGATGGATGCTGAGAAAAAGCTGAGTTTGGAATTATCATTTAATGCCGAAACACACAAAGTTGAATGTCTTTTTCATGTAATAGCTTCTGAGGCTGACACGAGGCAAAAGCTGGTATCGCAATTTCTTTAGAGAAAGTTAAAAGTGTTGGCAATCGATGATCCTTTTCTTGCCAAGAAATCATTCGTCGTCATTGCATATTTGAAAGATAATCCCTTTGCTGGCTATCAGGCTTGCTCGATAGATATCAAAGATCTTTATTACTCTTTGCCACACAATGAGCTTCTTGTTTGCATCTGCGATTGCACTGAAAGCTTTGGTAGTTTAGGTACAGATGCCTATCAAAACATGACAAGTATTTTCTCTGTAGATGGCTTCATGGAACTACTTGATTGAAGAGTTTGCATTGGCTCGTGCTTGGTACCCATTATGAGTGAGTAACCAATTTTTGGCTAGCCTTGATCGCACGACTCAAGAATGTTCAACACATTTAAATGTTGCGAAAGTCTTCCGCTATATTGATGATTTTCTTGTGTTGTTTGAGGCTGGTAGTTCTGATGCAGATCCATCAATGAACAATATTCTAGACGTTTTCATGCAAGCATGTCGCCACTGGTTTTAACTCATTAGGTTCAAAACGGAAGAACTATCCGCTTCCTAGATTTGAGCCTTACTATTGAGTATGTTGTAGTTGTCGCAATATGGAAACGAAACCGCCGCTTCTGAGGAATGTTAACTGAACGACCTGTGAACGACTCCCGGAGAAAAAGAACGAAAAGAGACAACTTGGGGGAAACGTGTTTCCGGGCTGCTGCAGCAGCGGCACTTTTCAAAAAAGACAAGTGGTCCAGCAAGAGGGGAGCGCGACCTCGACGTCGGCGTGCCTTTACGAGCTACAGGGCTACCGTAGACGAAAGGCTCAAGGCCACAGGGATCGACTGTGGTAGTTACCCGAGCTGCTGGAAAATGTTGCATGTGTGGGGTGCAGAGGAAACTCCTTTTAACTATACGTATACTTGTGTTTCTCTGCATGTTTTTTTTTTCTTTCCATTTCCCTCACGACGAGAGTGGTGTAGATACTGTAGAATAAACTAGTCTTCGTGATGCATTCGTACTGAAATGATGTCTTGACACTCTGTCGTTGCCCTTTAAAGAAAGTTTTTTGCCTCCCTGCTATCCAGCTACAACATTTTTTGCTGCTGAAACCTGAGAATAGAGACCCAGACAAAGATCGACTTCAACAGAATTAAGCGCAAAATCGCCGTGGTCCGGACGTCGACTACAAAGCTTCTCAATGACATCACTGCCATGGAGGACGACGCATCACAGGGTTAGCTTGAAGAAAAGATCAACCTTCTCACTCTTAAAGAAGATTCACTCAAAGAACTAGATCGTGAAATTGAGAAAGGTGTTGAGGATGATGCATTAGAAAAGAAAATTACATGCTCTGAGAAATAAAAAGAAAGAATTTGGTAGCAAAGACCAAAGTACACCGCATGCTACGCGAGCTTAGCTACACTAACATCGCATCAACGACCGCTTTGCTAGATCGCACCTTCACTTCATCAGATTATAGAGCACCTAGTCGTAACATGCCACAAGTGACCCCCCCCCGTAAAGCTGCCAAAGTTAGAAATAGCAAAATTCAGTGGCGAGCCTTGGCAGTGGCAAGGTTTTCGGATTTTCGGAGACCCTTCGACTCTATGGTAAACTCTAACAACCTCCTCTTCAACGTGGACAAATTCAAGTACCTGAACAGTTACGAAACAGGAAAAGCTGGAAAGGTTCAATCAAGAGGAAGTGATCATAGAAGACCACATGTCCAGATTGCTCAACATCAGGTAGTGCGTGACTCACAGATCCGCAGCCAACTCCGAGGCCTTGTTGACGAAGTAGAGATGCGTATAAAAAGCCTGACTTCTCTCGGCATAAATGTCAACATATATGGAGCCTTGCTACTGACCATACTAAAAAAAGCAGTGCCTGCGGTCCTCCAGCTAGACTACTGCCAAGAAGAGACGCTACGGCAGGAAGCAGTGATCTGAAGTCATTTGTGCATTTCCTGAGAATCGAAATTAAAACACGGGAGAATAGGGTCGAAGAACCAAGGGTCATCAGTGCAGAATCGTCTATAGAAAGCCGTAAAAGCACTTTTAAAGAGCCAAAATTATCTTCGGCTGTGGCATTGCATACCATGACCAAGGAAAGAAGAGGTTGTATGTTTTGTGTGTCAGAGTGCCACGAAACCAGTAACTGCGATGCAGAGATGTCGTCAGCTGACAAAAGAGAGGTGCTGAAGTGTGAGAATAGATGCTTCCATTGCACAATTAGGGGCACATGTCAAAGGAGTGCAGTGAGGCCAAATGGCTCAGGTGTGCCAATTGTAGTGGAAAACACCTCACGCCTGTGTGTGATCTTGATTTCAAAGGACACCATGGTGCTGATAAACATGCATTCTCTCCACCAGTTACCGGAGAAGCCACGATGTTAAAGTCTTCTCTAGCCTCAGAAAGAATTTTATGTGCACAGAAGCATCAGTTTCGCCTTCAGACTGCGCGAGCTTGGACAGAAGAACCGCACAAAAGTACACTTGTCAGGCTTCTCCTAGATGGCAGCAGTGAACGGACGTTCATCCGCCGCAACCTCTCTGAAAGATTACAGTTAAAGGTGCTAGGGGAAGAGGAGCTCAGAGTCTACGCTTGCGGTGACAAGTCGGCTATAAAAATGCTCAAAGCACCTGCAGTTCGCTGAGAAATTTTTTACATTGAAAATCACAGCCTGATAGAGGCACCAATTACTTGCATTTTTTTCTCAGCACTTCTCGGCTATTCAATATCCTTGAGCATTCATGGTTTTCAGTTGGGAGACACCCTGTTATATTATTTATACTGAGCCTGCATAACTTGCTAGCTGATTATATACAAGTTAAAAAATATTTTGTCAAACTAAACAACATCCCATTCCTTTGCACCCACGCCGAAATTCAACTCGGGAGATCCTAAGATCTATGTATTTGCCTGTCTAATGCCGTAAGTTTCTTTAAAAAAGTGGCTTTTTAGCTAAGCTTTAAATATACCATAGGTAGGAGTTATTACAAAACAGATTGCACTTGGCACAGCATAGCCTCAGCTGCTTTGGAACCTTCGACCTGATTTAACTGACTGGTGCACAAGCATGATGCACAAGCATGACTGTTGCACGAGCAGTTGTGTAAAAAACACAACTATGTATACATTTCGTACATCAAACAAAAGGCATCCACTGACGTCAAGACGGAACTAATTGTCCAACACAGTGAGTATTTGTTAATTTTCATGAAGTGTACAAGCAAGAACGGTTGCATATTTGAAACAAGATATCATTAAGCCACTTACATGTGTGTTTACCTGTCATATGCATGTCTGTCAGGGAAGATGAACTATATGAACAGATGCATAGGATAAATGATACAACTCACAAACTGACTCTTGCTCCTTGCTCATATGCATCATACTATGCCTCTTGCTGCTAACATCATATTTACACTAGCTGGCTTACATTGCAATTGCCACATGCATAAACCCGAGTGACTATTGCAATATAGAGTACTTGTTCTTTGGACTCACGCTTCATCCTCGGCTGCCTCTTCTTTCAGGAGTGCTCGGTTGTTGAGCATCAAGGCCTTCTTGCGTCCCAGAAAACGCTCAGCCTCAAAGACATTCTCCAGGTGTGACCCAAGCTTGACAACGAGCTGTGAAGAAGCACAAAAAAAATTGAACATCCTTCCATTTTACTTCTGACAACAGTGCTTTTTTTCATCGCTTAGCCTTACAGCAACAATGACCAACCAACATTTTAAATACCATCAATCCTTGAGAATTAAGAACTCCATAAAATGCACAGAGGACAACCTAGAAATTTCCAGCATTGTTCCTATTGCGATAGTAATATGTACACACTCTCGGTTGACTTATGCCATGGTCGTTGCTGTCATGTTCCGGATATGTATATGTACTTATATATGTAAAAGAAAGGCACAAAGCAAAATAAATCAGTCGAAAAAAAATTTTAAAGCAACGTACCGGGATTCGAACCAGCAGCCCCTGGTTCTGCAGACTGCTGCACTAGCCGACCCAGCTACACATCATGCTCATGCAGGTGAGCTACTTATGTGCACCATTTACAGCTTGCGGTATGATCTTTGAACAGCTTGAGCGTATATTCTAACACCAATGCATTACATTTTTTTTTTTCAAACTGAAAGCTTTCCTTGAGCCCCGCAAGAAAAAGTGGCACCCCCTTCTGTACCATTCTTATTGTAGAATAGAAAAAATAAAAATACCAGCGCACACGGGGCCTCAAACGCCACTGCATGGCAGGAGATGCAGAGGAGTAATTCCATCTACCGCAGTTTAAAATAAAAAGAAAAACAAAACACTGTTGACTTCTGCATTGTGAACATTTTCAGGTGTGTTCCTCAAATACATACACGTAACAACTACGACGCCTGTTAGTTCAGCTTGTCTTGTGTATGCATATGCGTTCTTTTCGAGCGTCTTTCCTTGCGCTGCAGCGGCGGGCTGAAAGCTGCTTGTTGTTCTTCGTGTGATATTCTTGATATTGCATTCATGCAAATAATCCGGCAAGTTTTTTTTTTCTTTAAGAGGGGGGTAGTTAAGAGGGGGGTGGGAGCTTGCTCTGATCAGATCAATATTTCATGCCATTGAGAATAGAAAATGCACACCCATGCTTCTAATGAAGGGATCTATGAGTATGCATACATTCACTGTTTTAAAAACAGTGAATGAAACTGTTAAAGTGGCACGGCACTTGCTCTGTCATGGGTGCATATCTCAAATTTCTGGAAAAAAGAAGGGGTTGCTTGCATAACATTTTATATTAATGAGCAGACCAATCGCTACATCATTTTATTTGTGCATCTTCCTTACTCAGCCAACACATGAACACCAAAGATTAACACCATAGATAAGTTAGTGATATTAGTACTATATAAACTAAAGTGAACTTAAATAATAAAATTTCAGTGCTAATAGAATTAAGTATTTTTCAAATAATTTTAAATATTTGCTAATTATTTTTCTAATACTTCAAAAGGAAGACCTCTGAAAAATGATTGCGGGGGATCCCTAAGCACATTTTTATAAGATAGAAACACGAACGAGTTTCTTTTGGCTAAATGGAAGTGCTGTAGAGATGGTGATCCCCAGTTGTTTTATCAAGAATGAGGCAATGCAGGAACCGAATTGTATTTATTTACATGATTTGGTGCAATAAATGTGATGTTGACAACACTTTATGCCAGAAAGAAAAAGACTGTTTCCTCCACCTTTTCCCTCTTCAATGGTGGGAAAGAGCGTGTTCCCTCCAAATTCGGAGCTGCACATCTTTTTTGTAGACGTCACTGTATAAAAACGTCTGAAATTTCAGATGCTGAAACAAACTTTTTGATCTGAGATGGCATAAATTAAAGCCCCACTACAATTGAACTAGCGTAGGTTCAAACCAGCGCTTACACGAGTCTACCAGTTTAAAGCTGTAACGAAGCCCTAAAGGCAGCTCTGCCCCAATACCAAACTATACCAAGGTAAAGCATAGTAAAAATATGAAAGGGCCACAGTTACACCATGCTGAAGGTGAACATATTCAACGGAGATATGTCTGCCTGAGTAAAATTCATACAAATAAAATAAACTCTCCAGACATTTTTAGTCCACAGTTTCTAATGTTAAACTGAGGCCTTGCCGAGTGTATCCATGCACGGTCTGCAAAACCACTGGAGAAAACGTTGCAGCAAAAGGAACAGCAAAAAAAAAACGGCAAAAAGAAGGACAATGGAGAGGGGGCCATCACTAATAAAAGTTGATAGCTTTGCAGCTAGCCGAACAGTCACCCCGGAAGAAGGAACTGAATCCGTCCAGAAACGTTGGGTAAGCCTTTAGTTTTAACAATAGAAATTCTGGACTGAAAGTAGCTGGAAAGTTTTTTTTATTCGTATCTCTATGTTAGAATCAGCATTTTCTCGATTCAATACACTGGCTACCATAGCAGAGTTTGTAAGGCATCTTCGCCATGCTGCTATAACATCATGGGGTGAAGCATATAAAAACTTGAAGGGGCCACTCACTACCTGTATTTGACTGTATTTGTCTTTCAGAAGTTCGAATAGTTTAAATAGTAGAAATTCTAGTGCAAATAGAATCAAACAGCAAACACTATTCGACAAATATTCAATAGTTCGAATACTCACAAACCCCTATTATAAATGCAACCTGCATGAACACTGTTAGCTGGGGGACTAGTAGCACCTGTGAACGGTTTGGAGAACAAAAACAACACCTGCTCGTGGGCTGAGGGACTGGCAACATCCATCAACAAACCAGAGAAGCAACAATTGCCCTCTGCTTGTGAGGCGAAAAGAGAGACTATCACGTGACGGGTGTTGGAAGCGAAAAGACACCTCACTCAAGAGAAGTAATGTGATCCTTTTATATCGTCATTAAATCCGTTATTTTACCATCATCCATGTGAATCAACCCCTGGCATGACGCCGATGGCTTAGCAACGAACCTACGACGAATGTAAAACCCAAGCCAAAACGTAATATTGTCCATAAGCATTCGACACTGGACTGGAGGTCGCTACGGAGCTCTTTTGGACCACCCCAGCATTGATGGTACTGACTGCCAGGCATACCAAGAAAATGAAATGCTTGCTGAAAACATTGAAATGTTTAAGTTGAAGTGCCCTTGTTGGCATGTTTTTAAACAAGGCTTCCTAGGTGCTTCCATAACCACCCATGAGCTCCATGCTGCTCACAACTAGAGAAGGAAAAGAAATGTGCCCTATCAAGTCTGGTTTTGCTCCATCTAATAGCTAGGCTACCCAGTGGTGGGCCTAGTTTTGCTTCATCTATTTACTAGGCTGCGTGTTCTGGCACTACCATCGGATCTCGTACACTGAATTGCCGGGTGCCTATACCGAGGCTTAGCAGAAGGAAGTTCCGCCAGCGACAACGACAAGTGGCGACCAATCACACAGAAGTGAAAAACTCCACATCGATCGCAGTCAAAGTGGCTTTCGGCATGAACAAGTCCCAGCTTATTTAATATTAAATGAAGAGAAGGACGATGATGGGACCAGTGCGCGGAGTGTGCGGTGCATGCCTTGACTGATTTGCAATGACTGACAATGAACACATTTATCCAATGGTGTTCTAGAAAATAAGGTCGCCCTGTTTTCCATCTTTCCAATAAGAAGGCTTCCTTTATTCTACATTTTATGGTGCCAAAATCCGGGATTTGTGACACAAGCGACCTGACAACAAAAAGACTTCCATAGCTACGAAGATGGATCGGATCAAGGGCAAACGAGTGACCCAATGAGCTTTGCATAAGCGTCTCCATAACGAGGCAAGCCAACTCATTGAATTAAGCCAGTGTGGTGCTCCGGCACTTCAAGTTCTGCATAACCAACTGAAGAACTGAAAAGTCTCCTCACGAACGAGCAAGCACCTGAGGGCTACATATCGGTCTTAGAGTATCAAGACAATGCAGCAGCAACGCTGTCCCTTCTCTCATATAACATTGAGCAACTTCAGCCTGAAACGACAGTGTACCGAGGCTTAGTGATACCCAACGATGATGCAACTCCATGTACAGCTTTGGGGAATCAATTCGTCGGCAATGCCTCAAGACTACCGAAGCTCGACTTGGTTCATTTTAATGAAGCAGTGCTACAGTGGCAGCTATTCTGGGATATCATCTTAAAATTCCGTAATGATAAATGATATTCTAACATCACCTCCACGCATAACACACGAGCTTCCGGAAAGACTACCAAGTCAAACACCAGTAAAAAAAAACCTGGAAGAAAAAATTGGCAGATGCCACGTCCTGTGGTAAATGATAATATGCGAAGCACGAATGAGGAAAGTTGATATGTCCCTTTAATATCAGCATAACGTTAAGAGGCAGACTTAAATTATGCCGTACATAACTTCCATGGCATGATTATCACGTTTGGATGTGTCATTTGCCGTCATCCAATTCGCGTCACGTTATACCAAGTTTAGGATCACGTGACGTGATATGTGGAGCTAGCGAAATGGCTGCGAGCACGCTATGAGCTTAGCAGGTAGTAATGATTGACAACGCACACATGTTACGATTATCATGTTTCAATGTGTCATTTACCTTCGCCTATTCATGTCAAGCGATACTAAATTCGGTATAGTGGGTATGTGGAGCTAGCGAAAGGGCCGCGAGCACACAATGAGTGTAGCATGTACGGTAGACTCTCAGTTAACGAAAATCTGTTAAACAGAACTACTGCTTAAACGGAACGATTGCCTCTGCAATACTTGGTTTTGGGTTTGAAGTCAGCACCCATGTTCACCTATCACTAAATGAAACTCCTGTCAAATGGAGCATATATTTCCCCGGTCTTTTCAGGTTCCGTTTACTGAGAGTCCATCGTAGTGATGTTTTACATATGACACCCATACCTTGATTATCATGTTTAGAAATGTCATTTATCTTCATCGCCTATTCACGTCACCCGATATCAAATTTGGTAAAGGTGGAGCTAGCGAAACAGCTGTGAGCGCATCATGAGCGTAGTATGTTGCCATGTTCTTACATGACACTCATGTGATGATTACAATGTTTTCCCCAGTCATGTACCTGCGGCATCCAATTTGGTCATGTAACACCAAAATTGGTACATGTTAGG